GCGGCTTGGCCCCTGACCTCGGCAAGCCGGGCTACCTTGACCTCTTCGCTGGCGCTGGAGGAGTTGGCAGTGCGCTGGTGAAGCTTGGCGCTCCTTGGGTTCTCTCTTTTGACCTGAGGTGGAGCCCTGACCAAGACCTCCTGGACCCAGCTGTGCAAGCTCGGATTGAGACCTTGATTTCATCTGGATGTTTTCGGGCGATTGGCATGGCTCCTCCTTGCAGCTCCTTCTCAAGCGCTGTGACGCCGGCGGTCCGAACCTGTCGTTTCCCCAAGGGCCTTCCTTGGCTTAAGGGTGAGATGAGGAAAAGAGTTGCCGAGGGGAATGAGCTCGCGGCGTGGTGCCTCAAGTTGCTGGAGCTTTGTGAGCGCTCTAAGGTTGGCTGGTGGCTGGAACAGCCGGATACGTCTTGGATGTGGCGGCTGCCTGGCTTCAAGCGGTTTCGGCCTCCTTCGTCTACGTCGACGTGGCGGGTGGACTTCTGCTACTTTGGGACCCCTTGGCGCAAGCGGACTAAGATTGCCTGCTCGAACGAGCTGTCGGGCCGGCGACTCTTTTGCCGATGCCTGGTGCCGCATGTACTTCTACGCGGTCGCTGCCCCTACTCTGGCGTGGCAAGGACAGCCGTGGCTCAGCCTTACCCCAAGGCGTTCGCTGCAGCCTTGGCTCGTGGAATCGCTCGGGAAGCTGGTTGGTGTGACTCGCGGCGCAGTTTGGACATTGCTGGCTGCGCAAGGTGCTCGCAGTTTCGCATTGGGGAGGCCTCCCATCCCGGCCCTCGTCGAGCTCGTCGTCCTCGAGAAGGAGACCTGGAGTTCAAGCCGGTGCAGAGTGCCGCAACGCTGTACTACGAGGCCAAGCTTTGGGAGGACTTCGTCCGGTGGTGCTCCTCCCGTCTCTCCGACTGTCTGCTCGTCTTCTCTCTCTGTCCAGTCTTAGCTGCCATGGCCCTCCGCGCTTACGGAAACTTCTGCTACGGTGCGGGAAAAACTCTTTCGGGATTCAGGCGCACGATCATCGCTGCCCAGCGCCGGCTGTTGGGCTGCAAGCCTTTTCTGCAGCTGGCCTGGGAGATGGTTTCTCGGTGGGAAGCTTTGGAACCTCCTGTGCACCGCTGCCCTGTGCCTGAGCCTCTGGTTAAAGCCATGGTCTTTCTGGCCAACGCTTGGGGCATGGAGCGATGGGCTGCCATAGCCCTTCTCTCCTTCTACGGACTGGCTCGTGTCGGCGAGGTACTCAGGTGCAAGAGAAGTGACTTGCTTTTCCCTGCCGATTTGCTGGACAAGGACGTCGGGGGGATTTTTCTTAACTTTAGGGTTTCAAAGACCGCAGCGCGCGGTCGGCCGAAGGTGCAGCACACGAAGATCACAGACTCGAGCGCCCGTGCTTGGCTGACTCACTTACTGCAGTCACTGCCTCAGAGTGAGCCTTTGTGGCCTGGCTCACCAGGATCTTTTCGCTACAGGTGGGATCTGCTTTTGCGCTGGCTTGATGTGCCGCGAGTTCTGTCGTTAACCCCTGGCGGGTTAAGGGGAGGAGGCGCTGTGCAGCGCTATCGCGCTGGCATGTCGCCCACTGATCTTCAATGGCTCATGCGCCTCAAAAATTTTGGGACGTTGGAGCACTAC